TTTTGGGGGGTTAGGTTCTGCAAAGCCGTTCGCCGGTGGCCGGTAGACGTAGGAATGCGCGCCAGCCGCACCAGCAGCCAGGAAGCACTCCACATGGTTGCCACAACTCTGGAAAACCTTGAAAACCTGGAAAACTCAGGGAAATAAAAAACTGTCAGGGAAATCAGGGAAAACTCAGGGAAAATGAAAAAAAGTCAGGGAAATTTGGTCTGACAGGTCCCCAAACTGCAGTCTATTTGCCGTTTAGGTCAAATACACATTTTGACGTCCCAGGAGGGTGTTTTGTCCCAAAAGTTTTCGCGTTTGCTTCGCTCGCGGTCTTGTATTACAGTTAGGGGTATAAGTTTGCCCCAGTACTTCACCAGGAACGGTGCTTAAAACTCAGGGAAATTCGGGGAGAAATGGTCTGGAAATCAGGGAAAACTCAGGGAAAATGGCAATGAAAATTTTGTAGCAACCATGACTCCAATAAAATGACATAAATGGCATAAAACGGGGGGCTCGGCCGAGTCGCCATACGTATCACGATCACGTCGCAGCGGCGAGCTCGTCTAATCGCTATTATGCCGGTGATTGCCGTTTTCTCACGCCACGGACACCAATCAGCCCCTCCCTTCCCAACTACCGCCCCTCCCCTCGTTTCACACCCTACCCTCCCACGAATTCCCCTATTGTGATTCCTGTCTATGTATTCTCGATGTACATTCTCTCCCCACATTTTACATGGTCTATAATTCCCCTTTTCCCCCACCCCATCTCTACTGATAACCATGGAGAGGCGTAAAATTATTGGGCACCAGATCCTCTTACTCCCCCTTTAGTTGGAGTACTTGGTGTTCACCTGCGGGTGCACGCGCGGGGGGCCGCGGGCGCGTGGGCTGGTGCAAGGTCGCGCGGACGCATCCTCGCGCCTCTCACCACCGACCGCCTGACCTACGCGTGCGCGAGCTGGACAGGAGGGCAGGGGGCGCCCTGGAGACGACTCACCAGCTCTGCTTTACCGACTGGCCGCACCCGTTTAGAACGCTGCCTTAACTACCACCTCCGGCGAGTTACAGTCCCACCCACTCAAGGCTCCGCGCTGCGGCAGGAGTAACCATTGACCATTGTGCTAGGGTATATTTAATAGATGCCGAGTGACAGTATGATACTTGAGCCTTTCCTACTTTTGCTGGTTCTCTTTACCCAATTTCCCTCCCAGAGTTTCCAATTGTTCTTTTACATTCTCCATGAAATGACTAAAAGACTATGGAAGTAGTGACCGGATGTCGGCCAGGCAGGCGTCGTCGCTTCCCGCCCGGTCAGGGTCTCTTCTTTTCTGGAAGCGCGACATGGTCCACGGCTTTGTTTTGGCTTGATTGGCGTGCCGCTTGGCTAGCCCGCCGCCCATGGCTGTGCCCGCGGCTGTGCCCATGGCTCCGGCCCCCCGGGGAGCTGCGCCTCAGACCCATTAGCACCCCATGACCCCGCGGGAGCAAAGCCAGACGGCGAGAGCCATAATTCATTCGGGCTGCCAAATCAGACGTGACTCCCCCCACCCCCCCAACAAACGGCGGCGGCCTCCTCAACGAAAACTTTTCAATGTTCGCAGGTAATCACCATCGCCATGGCATCGAACGGGACCGAGCTGTCCCAGCAGGGCGTCCTGGAGGTGCCCGCCGACGTCCTGGGCGGCTCCGGCACGCCGCTGCTCATCGCCAAGGTGACGGCCATGGTGGTGCTGGGCGTCGCGTCCATGCTGGTCGGGCTGCTGCCCATCAAGCTGGCCCGCTGGCTGCGCTGGTCGACGGAGAGCGGCGAGCAGGCCGTCAAGAGCACCGAGGACGAGCCGACGTCCGCGCCGCCCACCGACAGCGCCACGCTGTCGCTGCTGCTGTGCGGCGGCGGCGGCGTGCTGCTGTGCACGACGCTGGTGCAGCTGCTGCCCGAGGTGCGGCTGCAGCTGCACGTGCTGCAGCGGGCCGGCGTGCTGCCCGAGACGCGCGTGCCCGCCGCCGAGCTGCTGCTCGTGGCCGGCTTCCTCGCCCTGTACCTCGTCGAGGAGCTGGTGCACCGGCACCTGCACAACCAGGCGCACGATAGCGAGGAGCCGGAGGCGGGTGAGTCGTCAAGTCGGGAAGAAAGCGATGGTGTTTCGACCGATGGTTACTTCACTATCGAATTGTCTGTTTTTTCTTGTTTTCTTTTTACGACTCTCTTCTATTTTTCGGAATTTACACTGATTTTTTTAGTGAGTAGCTCCTCGTTGTGGACTTTTCGAAATCCTAACATTTTCGGAAAATGCTTGCAGGTCACCATCACGGCGGGCACGGCCACAGCCACGTCCCCGTCGGCGCGGTGGACAGCAACGGCAAGGCGCAGCTGGGCACGGCGGCGCGCGGGCTGCTGGTCGTGCTGGGCCTCTCGGTGCACGAGCTGCTCGAGGGGCTGGCCGTCGGGCTGGAGCGCTCCCCGGCCCGCGTCTGGGCGCTGTTCGTCGCCGTCGCCTCGCACAAGTTCGTCATCTCGTTCTGCGTCGGCGTGCAGCTCGTCGGCATGGGCAGCAGGGCGGCCTTCGTCTGCGCCTACGTCGGCGCCTTCTCCTTCATGAGCGCCCTGGGGATCGCGCTCGGCATGGCGGCCACGGCCAGGTAAGATCGGCGGTCGAGTTGCGTTGAGTTTGTTGCCGACCGCAAAAGAGTTGGATAACTCATCGCGATACTTTTGGATTTCTTTGCGTCACGCAGCGAGGGCGCGGCGGCCGGAGCGACGGCCACCCTGATGCAGGGTGTGGCCGCGGGGACGCTGCTGTACGTCGTGTTCTTCGAGGTGCTGGAGCCGCAGCGCGCCTCTCGGCACGCCGGCATCCGGCAGCTGATGGCGGTCACCGCGGGCTTCGCGGCCATGTTTGCCATCCAGCTCGCAGGTCGGTACAGAAATTCCTCCGCAATCTACTGGTTTCGCGATTTGGCCCCTTATTCTGTATCACTCTTTCTTGCCGTTACAGTGGAGTCGGTGTCGGAGTGACGTCGGCCCGACGTCCGACTGAAGCCGTGCGGGGGAGGCATTTGTACATATTCATATTCCAAAAAATCAACAAAAAAACTCATCAACCTGGGTCCTCCCGGAGCAGAGACACAGAGACGTGCTAGTGAACCAAAGTGAACAGTGAAGTGTTGTGCGTATAGTGTAACCCGAACTCGACCCACTGGGGAGAGAGTATGGGTGTTATGTGTGTTAGTATGCGTGGTACTGCTGTCCTTGGTTGCCGCCTGCTCCGCCTCCGGGGAAGTCATCTCACCTCTTTCCTGAAAGGTGAGTCCAACAAAACAGCAAAACTCTCGCCCATTTCCCTTTCTTTCGCCTCTTTCAAAACACCGCATCGCCGCCGGCGTAGTGGACGAAGTAACCGGCGCGCTGGTGTAACAGACTGGTAGGATTCAGTCACCACCGGGATCAGTGACCCGGCGCCCGCCGCCACCGGTGCCCGCCCGCCGCCTGTAGATGGGCCACTGGCTCCGTTGTCGCGCACGTTGGGTTGCCTACCTCCGCGGCGGCTGCGGCCCGACACAGCTGCTTTCTCTACCCGATGACGACGCCCGCCCGGATGCGACCCCTTCGGCTTTGCTTCTGCTCTGCCGACTGATTATTCACGGGACTACGGCCACCAGCCACCACCACCCATACCTTTTGGCTCTTTTGTCTTTAGAGAGTTCGCAAATGTTGCGACTTCCAGTCCCGACCTGCCCATCATACCGTGCTCGAAATGTGTAGGCGTAGGAGGGTAAATAGACAAAGCACCAAATTTTGGGGGGAACTGCATCTGATATCGGCGGGCCAGGAAGAAAGACGAAGCGAGCTCTCTAACCCCCCCACCCCCCCTCCCGAAGGGGGATGCTGCTACTTAGCTCGAGATTTTCAGTGAAGTCGACTTCTCGTACGCCTCGTGCGTTGATGTCTCCCTGCCAAGGCATAATTGCGGGGTATCGCAGCGATACATTTAGACTTATTTGCAATCTTGTAGTCGGCTCGGCTGCGGAGGTGATTATCGGTTATAGCGTGAGAATGTGTACGTTCATGTGTGCGAGCTCGTGTGAGCGAACCTCTATGGCAAACGCGCGCATACCGAACGCTCTCCGCGAGCCGCGAGCTCCCCTTCGGCTGACCTTGTGGCAAGAAAGCGTTCCGCACATACACACTTCCGGCAGATCCAATCGTACGCAAGGGTACCCCTCCCGCGTGCACCCTTCCTCACCTCACCCTGCCTCCTCCTTCGAACCTCCTGCCAGAGAGCGTATCCAACGTAGTACGCAACTGTTCACTGTAATCTTTATGGCGACACGTGTGACCAAAATTCGGTGACACATTTATTTTGGCGACTTCCCTTTTTTGTCGCCAAACTTTGGCGACATCCGAGATGTGACCATAATTATGGAAACAGACATGTCGCCATGACAGTTCCAATTGAGAGCATAAAATTTGTCACCCTCGGTGTCACTTAATTTGGTGACGTTTTCGTCGCCTTGACGGCAACACATATGTCACCAAATAAGGTGACACCGAGGGTGACAAAGTTTATGTTCAAAATTGGACCTATCATGGCGACATATCTGTTTCCATAATTATGGTCACATCTCGGATGTCGCCAAAGTTTGGCGACAAAAAAGGGAAGTCGCCAAAAGGGGAATGTCGCCAAGTATGGTCACAAATGTGTTGCCATAGAGTTTACAGTGTTGTGGTGGTGGTGGTGGTCGCGCAGCCGAACTGTCCCCGTCCCCCATCCTCTTGTCCAGCGAGTGAAGGGGCGGCTGCTGTTCTCACCGCCGATTCTACTCATGCCAACGGCGAGTGTGCCTCCTGGGTGTGTGTTCCTGGAAACAGGTCTGCTCTGTTATAATCCCGCCACCAAGCAGCACGGCACCATGACCACACCACCTGACACCTTGACCTTGGCGTGAGAACCGAATCCCGCCGCACGCTTGCTTACGAACCGGACGACCCGGGACTGGGCGTTCCGGCGCTTCCGCTTCACTTGTAAGTAAAGTAAACAAACAAAAGAAGAAAGAGAGAAAATTGCAGAGGTAATCGGATAAACATCGTTTGGTTTAATAAGCATGGACGGATATTTTTTAATTTGTGGGGGCCCGCGTGATGACTTTCAGTAAGTTGTGTGGGTGAGTGTGTGTTTGAGTGTGAGTGAGAGAGAGGGTGGCGGCCGACTTGTGCATAACGCAGGGCCAGGACCAATAAGAGTGGCAGGGGAGCCTGACGAAACGGGGTCCGCGTAACGCCCTTTGGAGCGGGCGGGAGTCGGGCCGGAGGAAGAAGGAGGAGGAGGAGGGAGGGCAGGCATCATGGTAGAAGGCACCCCGCTGCAGCGGCGGAGCAGGCGGACATCATGATCGTAAAGGTGGTAAAGGGTGTCCCAGCCGTCCCAGCAGCAGCGCAGCAGAGAGAGAGAGGGAGTTCCGCGAGTGCGCTGGCTTCGCGCGGCCCATGCACCGTCGAGCTCGCCCGGGCAGCACTCGCGTCCGCAGCCGCCCGGCTCGCACCAGGCCACTTACGTAAGCCCACAGTTTAGCATTTAGGCCCCGCAGCGTAACTCGACTGTGGCGAGGAGCATCGCCCGCTTCATGCTTGTAACCTCGGCAGGTCGCAGGGCGGGGCTGCAGGGCTGGGCTGGTCGGCGGTCATGCGAGTCGTGGGGCGCGTGCCTGTATACCGATGCCGCGGAGGTTGGGATAGGTCAGAAACAAAGAAGACGTCGAGACGACGATGAAGATGAAGATGGTTGTTACTGTTGAGGAAGATGAATCGGAAGAAGATGAATAAGAAGAAGGTGAAGAAGATCAGGATTAAATTATTTTGTTTATTGGAACATAAATGCAGCATAGGTACAGGCACTAAGACTAAGATCCTGGAAAGGTGGTGGTAAGGTACCTGGTCAGCAGGTTTAGGGGAGTTCATAGTTGTGACGTGACGACGATGAAGAAGAAATCGCATACGTAATGTGTAGAGACCCTTCTTTTTCCTGGCCTGAGACCTGAGAGCCGCAGTAAAGCAGATGATGGCAGAGTGGGCGGCGGCGTCTCATGTCACGTGCGTCGTCTGTCCTCCCGAGAAGCCGTTGCCGTTGCTCTGTCCTGTCAAGAGAGAGAGAGGGAGGGGAAAGCAAGCCGAGCACTGCGAAGATCCGAACAATGAGCCCCTTCGTTTGTGTGAGTGAGTGAGTGTGTGTGTGTGCCTGGGCGCAGTGCGGCGCGCCCCTCCGAGACCTACGCGTCACTTACTTCCCCCTGGACGCGCAGGGATTTGCATCGCCGCGCCCGACGTCGTCGTTGCGTATGAGGGCCGCGGGCGCAGCGCGGCAGCAGATTAGGAGGCACGCCCCACCACGCCTCGCCCCGCCCCGCCCCACCACGCCCCGCCACGCCCCGCCACGCCCCGCCACGCCCCATCTTAATGAGAAGGCGCGGCGTCGAGTGGCGTACCGATCGCATCAGGCCGGAGCGGAGTACCGGGCGGCGGCGCCGGTCATGTAACGCCATACACTCGGAGCCACAAAGTCGCCGCCGCGGCGGCCCTGGATAGTTTGTCGGAAAGTGTGACGCGTCCACAATAAAAGGCTGTATCGTGTTTCCCACCTTGATTGTTACTATCTCCGGGGGGGCTAGCTCCGGGGCGACCCGGCCGGCCGGGTAGAGCACGTGTGTTCTCAGAGAGGGCGGCGCCGGCGCGGGGCCCGCGGCCCGCGGCCAGCTGGCACCGGGCGGCCTTGGGTCAACTCACTTACTGCCCTTCCCCGGGTTGTTGTGTTTAAGGAGGGTGAAGGGGAAAGAGAACGGGGGGGGGGGAGAAAACGAAGCGATATAAACGCGTTATAGCAAAAGCCCGGGCCGGGCACGTGAGCAAGAGCATGCAGCGATAGACATCTCCCTCACTTGGAGAGCGTGGCGCCGCGCCGCCGCCCGCACCGAGCGTGGCGGGGCCGGCGACTTTGAAACAATTATCCTTTCGCGACGCCTCTGGCGTGTGGTGTAGGAGGCCCGCCCCGCCCCGCCGCGTGGTCCCCGCACCCTCCTCCTGGGCTGCTTCGGCCCGAGCAGCAGCCAGAGGACCTCGTTACGGTCCGCGCGGTTTATTCGCACAGTAATGATAATAATTTCCACCCGGGAGGGTGGTTGTGCGTGCGCGCGCCGCCGCGGCTGCTGGTACACTGCCGCGGCATTATAACAGCACCCACTTTGAACTTTTTAATCGCTGCGGCGATAACATGGCGCGATAAAAGCCTGCTGGATATCTTCTTTTTTTGTGCTCCGTGCGGGATGTGTACCCTTTTCTGCGCGGTGGTCGGGGCGATCGTGAGAGGTCACGATGTCCCGCGATGCGCGCGCGGCCCGCCCCCGCCCGCGGGCCTTGCCGGGCCGGGCCGGGCCGGGCACACTGCGAGCAGCCTCCTAACCTAATCAGGTCAGTCCGCAAGGCCGCGGTAATACTACGTGTACGCGGCCAGCTGTGCGGCACCGGGGCCGGGGCCGGGACCAGCAGGACGTCGCTCAGGACGAAGGCAAAGGCCTCTGACGTGCCGACGTCGCGACCTCCGACCCTTCCCGCCGGCCACCAGCTGGCCTACAAGTTAGTGTAACACGGCTCGGCGGTCGTCGGGTTACGCCCCTCTTACGGGCGCGGCTGCGTGGAGTCCGACACACACACACACCGCTCCACCGAGCAGGGCAGTGACGCTAGAAAGCGATGACGCGGTTGCATTACACCTAGTCGAGGGAGGTGTGTGTTCTCACATCCTCCTCTCCGTGCCACGCGCTTTGTCGTCGTGTTGTGGCTGGCGGCTTGCGCGGCGGGCCGCGACGCGGGGGCGCCATAGGCGATATTACTGTTGAGTACGTTGGTACCCGTGTGTCGCCATTGTTGTGAGGTCCGGCCCGCTGCCACGCACGCCGGCCAACACAACGGCGGAAATTTCCCTCCTCCGTCTTTGTGAAGGCGCCGTCGCTGACGCCTCCGCCGGCGCTCTCGGGGGGTGGCGCAAGGCGTCCTGACGCTGACGGCCCTTCACGACGACGCGCCACTTCCGCGCCGCGGCGCTGCGACGGCCGTCCCCACGATGTGCCGCTGCAGCAGCAGCGTCCTTAACCTCACCACTTGTCCGCTAAATGAGAATGAGCAGCAGCAGCAGCATCCCTGGGATGAGCAGCGGAGAGTTTCTCATACGTCTCGCAGTCACAACCCATTCATCCGGCAACCTTGTGCAGCCATGGCGTGGCATGGCATGGCTCGGCTCCTCAGGTTCAATATTTTCACAGTCCACAGCAAACGGAGCGCGAGGCTCTTGCGCGGCATGTATACAGGCTGACAGCAATGCTTCGTGGGGCTTATGAAGAAAATACGTCA